CTTCTTTTTTCCTTTTGTCATCAAGACTATCACCACTGCACATCCATCCTGGTGTGTCTTTTACATTTTAGTAGTTAGGTCTCAGCAAATATTCCTTGAATATTAACTGCGAGGCATTTTGGATGAAAGTCAGGAGTCCTAGGATTAACTCTAAAACCTATAAAATAGAATAAATTACACACAATGTGTGAACAAGTGAGCACTATGTATTCTTCGCTGAAAGGTTTTTTGGGGTTGTTTTTTCCCCTCAAGAACCAAGTTTGTTTTGGCTCCCTGAAACACTGATTTCCCTCAACAGTCATTTAGAAAACAAGACTTAAAAACATATATACAGAAATAATTTTTTTGCTGGAATATGCAATATAAGACAGGAGATCCCAAAGGAACCTGAGACATTGCCTTGCCCTGATTGGAAAAAAGATCCAGGCGATTAGTGAAAAATGTTTCCTGTATCCCTCGGGTGTGTGCATCTGGAGCGGCCTCCCAGCAAGCAACCGCAGAGACCTCTGTGGTCAACCAGCGTTTGTCGTCACCAGCGTAAAATCGTGAACGGTTTCAGCTACCGCCGCTGGTGGACGCTCAGGAAAAGTGACTGCCTACTGCCCTCCAGGCTACGCCCCCGGTTTCCTGGGTTACTAGCCTCCGCGCTCCTCCCAAGTTCTCTTCCGGGAGGCGGCGATCTTACGTTCTCGGCGCGTGACGCAGCACGCTTTGGTATAAATGTGTGCCGCCGGCCCTCGGTTTTTCTCTGATCGCGCTGCCGGCGTGCAAGATGGCCGTGGTGAGTGACGTTGGTCTCGCTGGGAGTATATTACTCCGATGTAGATGATTTTTGCAGCTGGCGAGCTGGGAGCGTCAAAGTCTAGGTCGAGGAAGGGTAAAAATGGAGACTTGGGTCAGGAACACAACCAGGATGTTAAGATTATAAGTTTCTGACTCCTGGCAACTGCCATGTGGTCTGGAGGAGTTCGAGCTGGGCCCAGAATTGGGTTAGGATGGGCGGTTGTGGGAGCGCAGGGAAGGAGGAAGCACGACGGTGAACGGGGCTAGTGGGACAGAATTTGGGCCATTGCTTTTCTCCCTCGTGCCTGGTAACGCCGATGATAACCTGTTTATTTGCACTAGGAAGCAAATGTGGGTAATTGGGCAGGCCCGGTCGAATGGCCTTGCCAGGGCGGAGGGACACCCGAGACACTCAACTCCCGGGATAGCCGCGGTTGCAGAAGTTTCAGAGAACTTTAAAACTAAGTTGGGGAAGAAGTTTCTTCATTATCTCATAAGGAGTTTTTTTTTTTTAAAGGTGAAAGCCACGACTCTTAAGCAAATAGAAAAGGAACATGCTTCAGAGACTTTATTTATTAATAAGGGAACCAGTAATACGTTAAAGCCGGTCCAAAGAACATTTGATGTTAGGGTAAAATTGCTGGGTTAAATACGAAAGTAGATAATGTCCAAAGCCCTCTGGGCTTATCTCTCCCCCCAGATAAATTACTTGCCTTTCCGAAGTTAACCGATGCCCCAACAAAGGCCAGTTCCTAGTCAAGGCCAGTTCCTAGTCTTCTCTTTTACCAGTTCCAAGTTCGGGATAAATTTTTTTGGCACAAAGTATGCCACTGCCTAAGAAAGCAAACTGGCTTTAGTGCTTGGTATCCGTTTGGTTGGATTTTACGTGTAGCCTTATTCCGCGGTATTGGCCTAAAAGTTTTGGGTATGGAAAACTTAAGTAATACATGTTTTAAAAAAAATTACCAGATTAAAGGTATCTCTCCCCTCTCCTTTCCTCACCCATAACAGCATTAAGGATTGAATTCCCTACACATTAGTGGGCAGAATATCCTGTTCTGGCAGGCGGCTGAGCTTGGACTAGGTGGTACACTACCTGTTTCCCCATCTGCATTGGGGATGGCAGTACTAAAGTAGTGCCTTTAGTAATTTAAAATTGAACATCTGTGGTCTGGAAAATATCAATAATAGAAGCCCACAAAACTTAAGTCTTGATAACTTGAACAAAATGGGCCTGGTTAGCGGTTCAAACCAAGCTAGGTGGGTATTTTTTAGTTTTAACTTGTATTTTTTAGTTTTAACTTGTAGTAGAAAGTAGATTGATTCTCTTATTCTTTTACATTTGCAAAATAGGATTCTTTGGAATCTTCTGATGAAGGAAACTAGTAGTAGCTCAGCATATACTTTGCACTTTCTTGAGCTTTGCACTTGTGAGGCACTTATGTGGTGAACAGGGGAAATTTCCATCGGATTTCATGAAACTTGATTTTAACCAAGTTAATGAGTGTACTCCCCCTACACATAGCCTGGTTAAAAAAAAGTTAGGTTATATCTGATAAGTATTAAGCAATTTTTTTAGAATTTTGCACCATTTCATATATATAGCCTCATTGTACAATACTGCACTGATACAGATCTTTGATTTTGTGTATAAAGTGAATAAATTCTTGTAGAGAGCCATAATTATATTAACTTTATGTAGAAGAAAGACAAGAAGCCTAAGAAGTCAACCTGGAAGTTTAATTTGGACCTTACTCATCCAGTAGAAGATGGAATTTTTGATTCTGGAAATTTTGTAAGTATCATTCAATTCAGGTTGTTTTTTATCATCTTAAAAATGAATTGAGTATGTAATACTTGATTTTAACCTAAGCTCTGTTCCTAGGGTACCTTCCCTAGTGAATATCTAGGGTTTTCTTCCCTAGTGTGGCATTTTTTCTGTTTTAAAATAGGAACAGTTTCTACGAGAGAAGGTTAAAGTGAATGGAAAAACTGGAAATCTTGGGAATGTCGTTCACATTGAACGCTTCAAGAGTAAAATCACAGTTGCTTCTGAGAAACAGTTCTCTAAAAGGTTGGTATTTGTTTTCCATGGTATTTTTTTTTAACAATGTTGGGTGCTTTAATATTAGAATACGTTTGAAGAAACATATCTGTTGTGTAACTTGGGAGTAGTGTCCCAACTTTCTTAGTTTTGGTTGTCTAGTAGAAGCAGCCAATCAAAGGTAAAGTCTTTAACGTTGATGTTGCAGCCCATTTTCGTTCATTCAGTTTACTTGGCAAATAGTAAATAATACATGGCAGCACTGTTGCAGGACTGAGTAGCCTAGCAGTGAACCAAGCAGACTAAGTACCCACTACCAAGGAACTTAAATTCTAGAGTGGAGGAGAGAGATAATGAAATGCAATATTAAGTAGTTGGTAAGTGCTGTGTAAGTGCATGAAGAAGGTTGATGTATAAAGTGGTCAGGGGAAGCTTCATCTAAATGAAATGCAGTAGTGAGCCATGCAAATTAAGGAATTGATTGTTGTGGCTGAGGAAGATTGATGGTGGAAACTGAAGACTTAGGAGCCTATTGTGGTAGGAAATGGGGGCTTGGATTAAGGTGGTAGCAGTGCATGTTAGCTGTGGTCATGAATTAATCACTAGGTATTTGGAGATGAAGTATCTGTCTTCAAGGATCTTATAGACATGCAGATAATTGTTATAAATGCAGTACTGTAACATTGAAGGTAGAGATTGGTAAAGCAAGAATTTGCAGAGAACCTGAGAATAAGCTTAGCGTTGCCGGTGGAATGAAGTATTTCTAACAGGGAGCAACATTAACAAAGGGCAGGGAGGCTTGAGACGAATGCTTGCCGAGTTCAGGATTGCTGTAAAATGTAAACAGTGAGAATGGCTGGAATGGTGAAATTAGGCCTGCTGTAAGCTTTTTTATAAGGACTGAGCCATATGCTAGTTGCAAGACTGGATAATCTTAAACTTGTGAATTGGATTCAGCGCTGTTGGGTTGCCTCTTGTTTATCCAAGGTGGGATTAAGGTTAGGGAGGTTGATAGTGGGGAAGAGAATGTTGACATTTTAGTACATAACATTTGAAGAATAAGATCGTATATTGTTTAAAAAATCTAATGTGGCAGTAAGACTGAAGAGGAAACTATTACGCTCTTAAGCATAAAGTTTATTTGGGGAGGGGAGAAATAAGGGTTTTGATAGGGTATAAACTGATTTTAATTGGGGTTGAGATGCTGCCATATTTATATCCCTAGCACCCTTGCTAATGCTTAATACAAATGAAAGGAAAGATTTTGGAGGGAACTGGGAACACAGAAGACGAATATGACAGTGCATATTTTATATAATAAGCCTTTACACAGTAGGTATTTTATGAAATTCATGTCTTTATTTTAAAGGTATTTGAAATACCTCACCAAGAAATACCTTAAGAAGAACAATCTTCGTGATTGGCTTCGTGTGGTTGCGTCCGACAAGGAGACTTATGAACTTCGTTACTTCCAGATTAGTCAAGACGAAGATGGATCCGAGTCTGAGGACTAGATGAAGCCATCCCTTTCAGGGCTTTGCTTGCTAACAAAACAAATGAAGTATACAAGAGAAACATCTGGAAATGGACCTTCAGTTTATCAGTGAATAAAAAACATTACTCTGTATGTTAAGCATTCATCTCTTTGATTTAAGTGTATGCTGTTTATATGGTGCTGGCTTTCCTTTAATACTTTGTTTTGTTTTGTTTTTCTTTCTCGTCGGCACGGGCCTCTCACTGTTGTGGCCCCTCCCACAAGCTCCGGATGCGCAGGCCCAGCGGCCATGGCCCACGGGCCCAGCCGCTCCGTGGCACGTGGGATCCTCCCGGACCGGGGCACGAACCCGTGTCCCCTGCATCGGCAGGTGGACTCTCAACCACTGCGCCACCAGGGAAGCCCCCCTTTAATACTTTTTTTAAAAAAAATTTATTGGAGTATAGTTGATTTACAATGTTTTGTTGGTTTCGGATATACAGCAAAGTGAATCAGTTACACACGTGCACTCCTTTTCTTTTTTAAGATTCTTTTCCCATATAGGCCATTACAGAGTATTGAGTAGAGTTCCCTGTGCTATACAGCAGGTTCTTATTAGTTATCTGTTTTATGTATAGTAGTGTGTACATGTCAGTCCCAATCTCCCAGTTTATCCCCACCCCCCACCCCTGCTGCCCTTATCCCCTGGTAACCATAAGTTTGTATTCTACATCTGTTACTCTACTTCTGTTTTGTAAATAAGTTCTTTGGTACTCATCTGTTGTTGTTTTTAATACTTTCTGTAAGCAGTATTTAAATAGCCTATAGCTAGTGGAATTTCTTTCAGGATTTCTGGAGTGTACTACTTTTACAAATGTCCTTGAGTTAAAGTATATAGTGAAAAAATGAAGCACAATTTTGGGTATAACTTTATATAATAAAGTATTTCAATTCTCTTGACAGTCTCAAATATCATTGTACAGTTTATAAATGAAATCCTGAGTGCCTAGAACAGTTCTGGCACATAGGTGCTCAATATTGAATCACTCCTGCCCTTTGCTTCAAAGGAGCAACTTTCCTAATTAGCCTAAAGGCTCTATGAGTTGAGCATAGTACTGCTCTAAACCAGCTTGCCCATTAGAGGTCTCTGTCCAGATGCCTTGTGGGCACTAGAAACTCAAAACCTTCAAATCTGAACTCTTTATCTTGCCCAGTACACTGTTTCTGTGTTCCTTGTCTGAATAATAATTCACTCAGCCAGTTGGAATCTTCTCTCTCCTCTCAGCCGCCCTCCTGATCATGCTAAAAATGGTGGTCTTCTGTTGCTTAAAACTTTTTAGTAGATAGACCCTTTATCCCAAGTAAAGCAACCTTTGAGAGCTTTAAGCAGCATGGTTTGTCAAAATCCAAATTGTAGATGAGAATTATGGGAGCCATATAAGTTTACTTTTCCATTGGTCCCAAGGTAGTATTAGTGCCTCAGGCATGGGCTGTGAGTCCTGATAGTAGAATCATGTTGCCAGATCTTGAGTATACCGACCTAATACAGATGAATATAATTGGTTTGGGGAGTGTTAAAAGTTTTAATTCTCTTATTAAGACCTTGTTTTAAGTACTCACCAATGTTACACAGCAACTCCCTAACTCTGCCCCATTTAAATTGTTCATGTTTTTCACCAATAGTTACCGACATCCTACTATGTGCTTGCTCTTGAGCATTGTGGATGCAATGGAGAAAAAACAGCCTGTTTCCAGGTATGGTGAGGGAAACTGTCCAAATAATCATGTAAAGTACAACAAAGAAGAGGGGTTTTAAAAAGGAATTTGATGCAGTCAAGGAAAGTAACTGAGGGTGTTTGAGCTGACCTAGAACAGGCCAGGTAATCTCTGGGTAAACAGAAAAGGGTGTTCTAGCCAGAGGGAACAGCATAGGTAAAATTCTTGGGACATTGAGGATCTGGTTGGCATCCAGTGCATCTGGAATGGAATGATTGGTTATGAGAAGAATCTGGAAAGGTAAGCAGAAACCAGCACATGCAGGACAGAAGTTGATGCTTGCCTTTAATCGAGAGAAATGGTAAGCTACTGAATTTTAAGTGGAGTGTAATGAGATGAGCGTTTTGAAAAAGATCAGTGTCTGCGTTACGAAAAATGGTTTTCATTGGCAGTCATTGGATGCAGGGAGACAGGAGACTTATGGCTGTACCCATGATGGTAGGTAAGAGGTGTTGGAGATGGGAGAAGTAGATAGATTTTAGAGATTTTTCAGAGGATAAAATTTGTGGGACTTGGTGATGGACATTGGTGGAAAGGGAGAAATGTCAAGGATGACATACAGTGTGCTTAGATGGTGGCATTTGCCAAGTTTGGTAACATTGGAAGAAGGCAAGAGTAGGTTTAGGCCATGCTGAATTTGAGGTCCAGAAGGTGTCAAGCATGAAGTTGAATATAGCGTAGGTTTAGAGCTCAGAGGAAGGATCTAGGTGAAGATACCTGCTGGTCTTGCGCACATGGGTAGTATTAAACAGTGGGCTTGGGTGAAGCTGCCTCCTTAATTTCTCTCCTAGAGTAGTCTTTCAGAAACACAGTTAATTTAGCATTTGATGATGTGTGCTAGGACCTGGGTACACTCTGCCAGGTAAGATATGCATGCCTTTAAGGAGTTGGCAGGTTAGTTGAGACAAGCGCATTCATTTAACAAATTTATTGAGAGCAACTGCTTGCTGGCATTGGGGATACTGCAGTACAAAATAGAAACATTTGTCTTCGTGAAGCTTATACTCCAGTGGAGGAAGACAAAGCAAAATGTATGGTACATGGTGGTAAATGTTACGAAGGAAAATCAGAGATAAGGGATGTAGGGAGGGAGGCATGTTGAATTTGTCTGTAGGGTCAGGAAAGGCTTTACTGAGAAGGGCTCAATTGAGGAAAGACCTGAAGGAGCTAGTGGATCCAACTAGATACCTGGGGGAGAAGCATCCAGACACGATAACAGAACAAAGGTTCTGAGGCAGGAGTGTCTCTGCTACATTCAAGGAACAACAAGGGGGCTGCTGAGCTGAGTGTGTGGTGGAGAGTCTAAGGATGAGGTAAAACTAGAAAGGTGAAGGGGTATGTGTGTTGCGGGGTGGGCGGTGATAGGGGAGGGTGTGTTATTTCCGTTATGCCAAGCGTAGCAGATTAAAACAGTCAACAGTTTCTGAGGATGGGGAATCTAAGGAGCAGCTTACCAGGGTGGTCCTCGTTCAGGGTTTCACGATATTGCTGTCAAGCTGTGGGCCTCGGCTGCAGTCATGCAAAAGTTAACAAACTACTGCCTCTTTTTGTAAATAAAGTTTTATTGGAACACAGCCATACCCATTATTTTTTGTTTGCGTACAACGGTAGAGTTGAGTAGTTTGCAGTAGGGACCATAAGACCTGCAAGGACTAAGCTATTTACTGCCTGGCCCTTTAAGAAAAACTTTCCTTTAGGCTTAACTGGAGCTCAAGGATCAGCTTCTAAGCTCCCTCCCGAGGTTGTCGTTAGGAAAATTGAGTTCCTTGCCAGGTGGGCTCTATGTGGACCTGTTCATGACATGGCAGCTGGTTTTTACCCAGAATGAGTGATTCACGGGAGAGAGAAAGCAACCAAGGTGGCAACTGCAGTGTCTATAACCTAATCTCAGAAATAACATGCCATCACTTCTGCTTTATTCTATTGATTACACAGGGCTACCTTGGAACAGAGTGGGAGGGGATTACATAAGAGTTCAAATACTGGGAGGTGGAGATCATTGGGGTCACCTTCAGGCTGGCTACTACAGGGGATGGCAAGTAGGGGGAGCTTTGTAGACCATTGAAAGGGCTTCAGCTATTTTTCTGAGTTCTGTGAGGAGCTACTGAGAGACTTTAGCAGCGAAGTGTCATGATCTGACATTTTAAATGAATGATTATAGTGAAGTATTTTGTTAGTCTATGATAAGTTTCAGAAATTCAGAGAATCTCAGACTAGGCATTCTGGGCAGGTGACTTCACAGTTTGGAAGTTGACTTTATTTTGAAGGGCTGAGAGAGTCTCGGATTGCCTTACAGGGTCTCTGCATCAACTGGAAATTGGCTTGTTTTTAACATTATTGTTTTTATTTATTTTTAACTTTTTATTTATTATGGAGAAAGAGAAAACTTATTTCTGTGTTCCTATCTACTCCCCACACCCCCAGATTATTTTAAAGCAAATTCCCAACATATCATTTCACCCATAAACTTCTGTTTGTTTCTCTAAACTTTAGTATCTAAAAGATAAGGACTCTTTAAAGCTAACTACCATACCATTATCACACCTATAACAAATTAACAATATTTTCTTATATTATTCATTGCCAAATCAGTGTTTAAATTTCTCCAAATAACTTTTTAACTGCAATTCAGGGTTGTAGTTAAATAATGGCTCTTAAACCTCCTTTAATCTAGAGTTTTTCTCTCTGTTTCTGTCTCTCTCTCTGCCTCTCTCCCTCTTCCTTTCCCAATTTATTTGTTGACCAAACTGGGTCATTTGCCCTGTAGAATTTCCCACAATCTGCATTTTCATGATTCCTCGCCTCCCAGCCTCAGTAGTGTCATTTAACATATTCCTCTGTCCACTGTGTTTCCTGTGAATTGCTAGTTTGTTCTAGAAGCTTGATCAAATATTAGACTGAAGTTTGATTTGGGGGGGCTAGAATACTTACAGGTGTCATTGTGCACATCTGTTAAGAAGTGTATGATGTTTGATTTCCTCTTGTCACGTTAGTACCACTGAAACCACTGCCTAGGTTCATTATTTCCCTAGAGGTGTCCAAATGGTGATACTCTATCATTCTTTTAAAATTTATGGGCTGAAATACCCTAGAAGAAGTGCCCCTCATCAAACCCAAGCTACAACTATAAGAAAGATAGGATAAGTGCTTGCTTCTTTTCTTTTATGTATTACTTTTCAAGTTAATTTCCAAGCAGATTGCTTCTAAAGGTGATCAATGAGGGGTTTTGTTTCTTTGGTTTTTTTGTTTGTTTTGTTTTATTTTAGTGTCATACTGAACCTATGGTGTAAAAGTATTGAATATTTGGTATGTTCTAATCCATTGTAATTACTTTTATTGACTCAAATGGTTCCATTTTGACCAATGAGAGCCTCTTCAAATTGGCTCCTGAGTTTTTTTTTGACATGACCTCAGTAGTGTTTTATTTATTCCATGGTTTCTGACATGATAACATGTTCCAGGCTCTTCCAGATTTCCTTCCCCAGATCTGGAATCATCCATTTCTCTAAAGAGCTCTGGATCATGTTCCAGGTGTCAGAGGTGCTCATTGCTACTGGTTTGATCATTGTTTCTAGACATATTCAGTGGACAGAGAAAGGAAATATATTTTTGTTTTTCAAGACAGTATAGTATACTTAATGAGTTTATACTGATGCTTCCAATTCAAATTCAGGATGACAGGGTTTTTACGTCATCTATTGCATAGACATATTTCCTTTTTCCATGCTGAAAATTTCAGTGACACCAACACCAGTACTCGTTTGCTTTACCTTACAATCCACACATAATAGTCTCAAAAAGGCAATACCAGCATTACTACCTATAATATAATACTTTACAGTTTAAGATTGTGTCACAGTTCTTTTTGTCCTTACGGTTTATCCACTAGGAATGAACAAAGTCCTATGTTTTAAAGTCACTGGAGATGATTCATCTCTCCATGGCTGTGGCACAGACTTGATACACAGGTTCATTTATTTCATTTTTCTTTTGATTTTTAAAGTTTGCTTAAAATCTTTTTATGTTTTATAATTCTGGAAAATATTTACAAGTTTCCAAAGTCCAAAACAAAGTATGTTTAAAGAAGTCTAGCTCCTGTATTAGTCCCCTCCATTCAGTTTCATCCCTTCCCTTACAGGTAGCTATTTAAAAAGGATATTTTGGTTTATCTGTCCTTTTTTTTTTTCTTTTTTTTTGGCTGCGTTGGGTCTTCGTTGCTGCACCTGGGCTTTCTCTAGTTGCGCCAAGTGGGGACTACTCTTCGTTGCGGTGCGTGGGCTTCTCATTGCGGTGGCTTCTCTTGTTGAGAAGCATGGGCTTTAGGCATGCAGGCTTCAGTAGTTGTGGCGCGCAGGCTCAGTAGTTGTGGCTCGTGGGCTCTAGAGCGCAGGCTCAGTAGTTTTGGCGCATGGGCTTAGTTGCTCCGCAGCATGTGGGATCTTCTCCGACCAGGGCTTGAACCCGTGTCCCCTGCACTGGCAGATGGATTCTTAACCACTGCACCACCAGGGAATCCTCCATCCATTTTTAAAAAGATATGCACCATTAGTTAAATGATAGCTTACTGTACTCACTTTTCTCCACATTACTTTTATTTCACTTAATAGTATTGTGGAGTCATCACTCCCACGTGGATGCACTGAACTTTATCCAACCAGTTCTCCACGGATGGGCATTTGAGTTGTTCCAAGCTTTTGCTACTATAAATAGTGCTGCAGTGAGCCTCATGCACATGCCTTTTCGTATTGTTGCCATCATATCTTTGGAGTGGATTTCCAGAAGTGAGACTCTTAGGTCAAAAGATAAATGAACGTATAATTTCACTATATATTGCCAAATTTTCCTCCATGAGGGTTTTACCATTTTACCCTCCTGCTGGCCTTCCCACCAGCAACATATGGAAATGTCCATGGACTCACTAACAGATTTTGTCATCCAGTTTGGGTATTTTTGTCTGATGGATAAGACATTGTTTTCAG